CGATTGTTTTGATATTCCCTTCGTCACAAGCGTCTTTTTCTTCTTCTTCTTCTTCTTCGTCATCATCGTCATTGTCAGCTTCCCCATCAACTGCCATGCTTACATCTTCAGTTTTTCGATATTGTCTTCAAATTCTCCGACATTAGTGCTGCGTATGTCATTCATGATATCTGTTGTAAAATTAGTTTGCGATGAAAGTTTTTTTTTTTAACAATGTCCATGAGCCTTGTTTAAACGGCATTACCTCAACGTTGGGAATGTCCTCTTCAATCTCATTCGATCTTCGACGTTTATTTAGGCTGTTAATTTTTTTTTTTTTTGCTTTTCACCTGAAGAAAGTAATGACATGTCTTACTGTTGGTACTACCAGACATAAGTGCAATGAAACGCATTTGTCTTTGGAAATGGTAATTGTAGCTGGTGATGCGGAGCTCGACTCCTTGAGGTTTTTTTTTAAGCATTCGTCGCATTTACAAAGAAGATGAATTATTTTGGCAGAAAGTAACAAAGAAATATGAAAATAGAAAAAAGACCTTTTTCATGATGAGATGATAATTCTATTTTTAACTGTGAATCTTTTTGTTGCTGCTTTTTTTTTTATAAAATAAAGTTCGTGCCAGCACTATTTTCCTCGTTATTAAAGAGTGTATTTCCGATTGAAAATCTACACTATTCATGATATCTTAATATCATATAAAAACAACCTATTTTATTTTTAGAGCACTTAGCTGTATGGCTTGAAATGTAAAATTAAGGTTTTTGCCTCGAGCAATGTCTTAAACGTTTTGTTTGACTTACCTACACGTTTTCCAAAATTGAAAATTGATGTAGCAACAATCATTCATTTTTCCTTTTTCAATCAAATAAACAATGAAAGCTATTTTGACAAGGAAGAAATCGAACATAGAAAACAAAAAAATCTATTCAGTTACACATAACCTTTTTAGTGCTCTTAAGGGTAAGAGTTTTTTTTAAGTGTAACTGCTACAGTGCTCTTACCGCTATGGTCTAACACCTTTTGTGATTTCAGATGACCATCGATTAGGATTTATTGATACTACGGCCTCCAAAAACTACTTTTATATTAAATTTAAAGAATCTGTTCACTACAACGCTTTACCCATTTGAACGATTATTTGATATCATGCCCAATAGCTTATTTTTGCGTAGGACATTATTCTCTTTGTTGTTTGATGGCTTAAACTATTTAACCGACTTCTTTTTTTTTCATTTTTAAAAAGAAGGTACCAATTTTTCAAAAATCCAGCACCAGTTCCATGCAAATAGACATTGTTTCTTCCACTGAATCTTAGTCATTGTGTTCTTTTATCTTTTTTCTTCCCGTGTCAAGCAACCCGTTTACCCCGATAAATAATTAATTAGTATCACCTGTCATATCTTTTTGCGTACAGCATAATTCTCTTAAACTTTTTGATGATTTAAAGTAGTTATTTGTTTTGTTCTTTTTTTCATTAAAAAATAGGTACACATTTTCTGATCATATGTCACAAACATTTTACAAACAGACACTATTTTTACTACTTGTAGTGGCCCATGTGAAACTGAATATCCTTTGTTTAGATTTATAATTTAGATCCGCTTCGGTTTCCTTTACTATTTAATTAGTATAAATAGGTGTCATTTTCTCACTGGAGTGACAATATTTTGGATCTTTGTCTTTACCACCCACCTTTTATCAAACAAAAGAATTTTGGTATATAATCCTTTGTTTGACCTCCCATTTGACAGCAAGTATTATGTATGGTCAGGACTGTCCTTCTGCCCATTATACAAAATGTTAATTCATGCAAAAGACCTTCCGTTTACATTACCATTATGCACCAACAACGTTCGAGATTCAACAAAAACAAAAGCCTACCCTAAAGCCATACGAAATTGAATTACCTTTCAAAATAAAAACATTTTTTATTAACCAAACATTTTGAAAAAAGATAATTAAATCATGTACAGTTTACAGCATGATACTATGCCTTATGCAACAGAATAAAAAAAGGATATACACAGGTACACCTTTTTTTTTGAGTTTTTTTTCCCACAAGCATTCATTTTTGGTAATGATCTATGACATGGGCGACAATGAAATCTTCTTATTTAAAACGGAACAGGTCATTTTAAAAATGTTAACAACATGGCACTACTTAAAATGAAACCTAATTGTTACCATTTTGTTTTTGTATGGCTATAGTTTCAAACAAACATAAAATCATCATAGTTTACATCGGACATATAGTTTTTTTTTGGCTCATTCATGCTTAGTGAGTCATTAGAGCAGTGACGTTTATGAGAATGACTAAACAGATGCTGGTATTATTTCGCAAAAAAACCACTGGTATGATCTAGTGGACAAAGCGAGACTTTATCAATATCACCGTAAAATTGTCTAGCCAGATTTTCTTTTTTAAACCGTATTTTGTGGAAAATTATAAAAAATAAGTATAAACTTTCCGTCATCACTATTCATTCCCCAAACTAGACCCATTGATGTCTTTTACAAACTCGCAGTTTACGTATTCAAAAACAGATATCTTTTTTGACGGTTACTCTTGTACTAATAATCTTTAAAAAAACATTTATTTTCTTCTAAACAAAGAAGAGCGCTTTTCTTCCTTCTCCTTCTCTTTTTTCTCTTCCTCTTCTTCTATGAAACAATAATGTTAAATGAGTGAAATATTCTAGGACAAGATCTAAAACTAAACTAAATACCTTCTTTTTCTGCCCTATCGAAGAGGGCCTTCAACGCTAATCTCTCCCTAGCCTTCTCGAAATGAGCTACGCGAGGCTTTGCCATGGGGCGTACGGGAGAGACAGTGATAGACGGTCCCTCAACGACAGGGACAGAAGAGACAGAAGAGACGGCCGAAACAGGAACAGCAGAGGAAACAGCAGCGACAGAACCGAACGAGGCGAAGGAAGGGACCGAAGCAACAACAGGAAAAGAAGAAACGGAACCGACAGAAGCAACCGGAGCAACAGACAAAGAGCTAACATCCGAAGAGCCGGACAAAGATAACTTCCTGTCGCCCAAAGGACGAACAAAGCAAGCGCGAACGGTCGAAGGAGGAGGAGGAGCGTCATTTCTTCGCTTTCCTCCATTCTTTTTGTTCTCACAAGAAGAGGACAAAGCAGGAGGAGCAAGAGGAGCATCCACAACGGTAGCTGCAACAAGGTCAGCACAAACAGCAGACGACACCTCAGCACGAGAGCCGGAACGGAGACGACGAGGAGTGGCCACAGGACGGGGCACAGAAGCAACAGAAGCCACAGTCACACCAGAATTCTTCTCGGCGGAACAGCCACCACCAACCAAACTATCTTCCGCAGCGACGGCAGACACAGCAGCAGAAAGCAATTCCAGACCGCAAGGAGGCAAAGAGGTGCCACAAACCTCTTCCGTGGCAGGAGCCAAGGCGACAGACGGGTCCAAAGAAACCAGGGGAGAAGCTACACTCTCACCCAGAACACCAGAATCCCCCAAAACAGGAACAACAACGTCATCGACATCCATGTCGGATACAACATTGGCCGATGTGCCAGACATATCCCGAGAAACAAGGAGGGGAGAAAAGACTTGACCAACGGCCAAAGGACAACCCACGGAAGGACCACAATCTCCACCAAAAGCGGGAGCAGGAACAACACCAGCCGCAAGAAAGGCTTGGGTGATGGCTTCGCAGCCAACGCCAAAGGAAACCCCAGAAGAAACGTTTTGGATGGGTTGCCCGATGGTAGGCAAGTTACCATCACTAAGGCAAGGCAAGCCCGCAACACGCGCAAAATCCACGTAGCTGAACTGTCTGTCCATTTTTTGGGACGAGACCGGTGCTGACCGAAGGACGAAAGACTGCTTAGTAGCCTCAGACTCCACAGAGGGCACGGCCAAAGGAGAGAGGAACACAGACGAAAAAGCAACAGCCTCAGGAGAGGGCTCAGCAGCAGCAGGAGAGGGAGCAGCAGCAGAACAGGCAAGTACAGAAGGAGAAGCAAAAACAGAAGAGGAAAGGACATTCGAAGAAGAGGGCGCATCGAAAGAAGATGGCCCAACAGCCGCGGAAGAAGCCACAGAAGAAGAAGAGGACAGCAAGGAGTTTTTTTTTGCCAAGGCGACTGGTGTAATTTTGCCATCACAAAGGACAAAAAGCTCTCCAATCACCTCCGATTGTGTTTTACTCAATGGTCGGCGACCACTATGGGCAGAAGCGCAGACCGAACCAAAGAAAGAAGCAAATTTTTCCCAAAGGAAAAGAAAGGCAAAGCTGGCGTGGAACCAGGCGAAAAAGAAAAACAAGTAGCCACGGTGTGTAATGTCACACATTAACCTAAGCATTCTCAACATTAGCATCGCGTAAATGAAGTGCTTGCAAATTACTTATTTAATACTTACTCGTCGTTAAAAACGTTCTCAATCATTTTTGGAAGACTTGTTTAAAGAAAAAGAAGAAAAAAATAAAAAACAAATCCATGTTTAAAAAAAAAACAGCTGCGCCCCGCCAATTGATGACGTGTTAGTGTATTTCTTAAACAAAAGTCACTTTTTCTGTCAGATATTAAAAAAAAAGTCTGGACTTTGTTTGCAGGTCCAATTTACAAAAGAATAAAGCTAAAAAAATGTATATGATCATGGTTTCATTGCCCACCTCGACATTCAAGGATTCCCTTTTTGATGTCGTAACGATTGAAACAGATTTTGCTTTCACCAAATGGCAAATTAGAAAACTGTTGTTCATTGTTCTTTTATCTCTGGAAAACGTGTAATGAGAATACTTTTTTACTTAAACGAGAACACGGCCGAACCCACTTTTGCAATTATTTGACCTTCGCTTCGCTACGGTAAAAATAACCTACGTTCTTGCTGGGGGCCATCACAAGTTTGCGGCGAACCCCGACGCAACTCAATGCTAATAAATGGTATAAAAATAAATTCTATTGATAATGATTACTTTGTGCTTAATTTTGTGTCTTAGTTATGACTGCGTTAAATACAACGTTGTCTGAGAGGGTTGATTATGGCGGCTCATTCAATAACATTATCTTAAGATTAGCAGAATCACGTAACCGAGACAAAGCAACATAAAATTGACCGTTCGTGAAAACGGGTGTAAGGAGACAAATAGTAGTGAAGGAAAGAGTTTGACTTTGCCATTTGTTGATGTTCATTCCAAATGCAGGTTGGACAGAAAATTGACGTCGAAGGAGGGTAAATGGTACGTTGGCATTATCTGAAGTTATTGATATGCTGGGAATCACAACAATGCGATCTGGTCTATCACCAACAGCAATCCCAGCTTCTACAAAAGTTCTTGTGAATTTTTTACAAATAAACCTTGTACCATTATAGACCTTTTGCAGGGTCGATGTTGCGATAATTGAGGATAGAAAAGGGAATCGTAAATTATAAAATAAAGCAAGTAAATAAATGAGACTCTATAATCCTTTTTTACAAGTTGGAGAGTTTGTCATGATAAAAATAGAGGTCCTTTTAATATTCAATTTTTACTTCAAAATTTTACCTGCGCAGATTGAATTGACTAGTTTCTTGCAAACTGTGAAATGGTAGAATTAGAATTAGAAATCAGTTACATATGAGATATACCTTATTGATTTACAGAAAAACCTAGTTGACCCATATCCGTCACTTCTAGAGCATTATAGTTTATTCGTTGAATGACAAGGTCATTGAGAAATTCGAGGATAATAATAGCGAATTAAGAATAATATGGGAATTTTAACAAAGTGAAATTCTCAAACTGCAAAAATAAACTAAGGCTTTATTAAACAAATAAAAGGGGGTCTTTATATACACATTATTTCAGCCATTGATCACAGATGGGCTGATGACGGTCGTGGGTAGATTCAACCAGATAATACTCGGATGTAATGATCCCATATAGAAAGGCCATAATGAGATGTCAATAACAATAACAATAACATTCATTCTTAAACTGTGTTTGTCTTGTAGCACAATATTCAGGGGAAAATATAGTTCTTAATGCAGATAGCTGTGGCAACCAATGTGGCTGATGTAACCTTCATATGTTTTCATATGAATGTTTTTATTTAAATGTAAACCTTATACTTGTATGAAGGATGATATGAGATCAAGTTTGTACGTAAAGTAAATGATCAGTATCTTATATAAAGTATCAATAAGAATTATATTTAGGATTATCAAATGGAAGATTTAAGAAGTGTAGATAGAGTCATATATTATTTACATAGCCTCGATCACGACAGTTATTCGTTGAATTACTAAAATAAATTATTGAGAAACCAGAAGATTCAGCAGCTACTCGATCAATCCAGAAACGATTTGAAATCTGATCTCAGTTTGACAGATGATGTAGCTAGTATTGTGTCTTACCAGTACGAATTTATTCGCTATATAGTACTTATAGCATATAGGTAATATATATCATAATTGAATGACAAGATAAAAGTAATGGTATTTGTGATATTAGCCGTCAAATACAACGGATTACTTGCAATGAACATGAAAAACTGCCCAACAGCATATAATGTGAAGTATACAGACAAAGACCAGAAGCCAACCATTATTCTTGAGGATGTGCTATCTTACGATTTCTGGATCTGACATGCCAATATTGTTTTGGGTGCGTCGCTCAATGATATCAATGTTCACAATAAATCGGATATTTTTGATGGGTATATGAAAGGAAGCGCTGCCAATGTCAACCTCAACATTGGTGACGAAGAATTCAATTCGGGACATTATGTGGTATTTGACAAAATATTACATAGAAAAGTAATGAGATAAAAGTATACTATTATTAGAGGTAAAAATCGACTAAAAGAACTCTGCTGTTATGAAATAATTGATCCTTTTTATATTGCACAACTCTCCTGAGTTTTAATGATGAGTCAGCCTTTCTGGTTTTGGAATAGATCTATACTTTGTTTCCCGCCTTGGGTTAAATGGATACTACTCGTTAGAATTGTTTCCAGACAACGTTGTCCCATATCAGTGCATCGGGAGCATGAGTATTCTAATAAATCTTTAGTATCACAAGACACTTATTTATCGGATCATACAACGGTTACTGTAAAAGATGTATACTTGTTTGTCAAGTGTGATTGGCAATAAAACTAATAATTCTCGTTTATTTATTCATTATCTTTGTAATGAATAAATTACGATCACAAATATAAAATGTCTTATCGATATTTGTATATTTGGTTGTAGAAGCTAGGTATCCATTAATTCATACACTATTTCTTTATACTCTTTATCAGCAGTATAACTATATCAATATATACGTAAATGAACCATTTATATTAATAGCTGTTCTATTCTCTCTCTGGGTAGCTAATTCATTGAGAGAACTATTAATATTAAGTTTCTCTTTCTTATAATTCTTGATTGATCAGAGAAGTTTCTCTTCTGGATCGGTGATATCGTAACTCAGTGGTATAGCATTCTGTATCCAACTGTCATTCGTATATCGTATTTAGGCCAATCATGCAATTTTTTATATAGAATTATGTACTCGAAGTAGAAGAAGTTGTGTAGCAGTATACAATCGTATGCTGATATGCAACATCAAAGGTTGTTTTAATTTTATAGTTTATTTATTTAAACAATTTACTTAATTATTCTTAAGTGGATCGTACCCAAATACGACACATTATCGTGGTGACAGGATATACCCTAATTATGCGAACATTGTGAAGGCGTATTCCATCCCTAGACCTGGTACCGAAGCTGGAACTATTGTTTCTAGAAACAATACTTGGTATTTGGGATATTAACCGACTCTTCGTTATAAATAGAACTTTGCTAAAGCACAAGAAGCATGTCGAAAGGAGGTGGAGAGAGGGTATGGTGTGTTGCAGGCTTGATTTGCCATTGTCAGTAATCCTGCAAGCCTATAAAAAAACGATGGCCTTGGTACGATCATGAATGCATGTATCATCATCCACGACAGGATTGTTGAGGATGAGCGTGCCGAGAGCAATATGGGATCTTACAGATTCCACGAAACGCATTCAACTAATTCTGTTGAGGTGGCTGGCGTTTCACATTATAGCGTAAGTACTTTTTTGAAACGTCAAAGTTATATCATAGACTCATTGGAGCACTTTAGATTAAAAGCTACTCTGGTGTTCCATGTTTGGCTCATAGATACATTTTGAAGCTCATCAAACTAAAAGAAAGATTCACGTTTTAAAATGAAATAAAACCGATTCAAAAAAACCAAAGATTTATTGTTCTCTGCCAAGTCTTTCTTTTCTTGATCCTTCTCGAGAGATCGCTTCAAGTCTTACTGACAATTAAGCTTATAATAAAGCCGTCTCATCACCTTCAAAATCCCTCAAGTTAATCTTGAACAAGGCGTTATCTCTTTCTTGTGAACCCAATCAGCGATCTTTTTCTTTCGGACAAAGTTGAATCTCACGGGCATTGTCCAACATTTTAAGGACGTTCCTAAGGTCGTCGTCTCCTTAGGATTGGATCTTGTCTGATCCATCCAACGTCCTTGGTACCTCTTGTTTAAAGGACATGCTTCTTGCTCTTTTTACGTCCAATAGGACGCACTGAAACCGATTCGTCACTCATGGCATCCTCATCGTCCTCGACTGTTGCCGGACTACTAGAATCAGTATCAGCATGGTTACGTGGACCTGAAGAGGTAGACACTCTACTATTCATTACCTTTTCCCTCTTTATCTCAATTTTGCAATCTCTCCGCGTCAACTGATTTTAAACTTAAGGGGTGTCATTACGTTCCAGAAAGCAGTGGTAGTATTTGAACAGAATTTCATACTTTTGCTCAAAAAGCTCGAGGCTATTACCCACATATTTATCAAAATATCTGCTCTGAATCTTAATATTTTAGGACAAATCTAATAATCATTTTTAACTCGTCAGAGGCAACTTTACCACTTGCATTACGTCGCTTAAATGCAACGACAGCACCAGAAACCTTGCTGACCATAGCGGAAACACCTCCCCAGTGGTCTTTCAAACCTTTTCCGTTTTTTCTGGACAGGCTTAGTCGCCGGAAGCCTTAAAGTTGGAAAGGATACTCTTCCAAAAAAACAGATGCTTTTACCAAATTTCCTGCGATAGGACCTTTCCAGACGAACAGCCAAGACTTAAACATCAAGAGGTCTAGAGCAGTTGTCCAAGCATGAGGACGCTTAGGCGCAATAGCAATTGCTTCGCTTTGATACTCCAAATCACTGCCATCGCTGCCGTTGTCACAGGTGTAGTACATAACCTTGGTGTTGTCATCATCATTGACCAACTCCTTATCGTCAACATTGAGGTTGTAAAGAACGACGTCGAAATTAGCTTGGTCGTTGTCAGAGTCGCACATATTGTTCATTTCCTTGGAAGAGGAAAAGGGTTAATTTTTTTAAAAAGAGATAATTGTTTAATTGTCAAAGACGGACTTTTTTTTTACTTCAAAAAATCTCTTCCTTTAGCGAAATTGTAACGTTATTTTTAAAAATTTTGGTTTGATAAAACAACCTTAAGCCCACTGCTGGAGGTAAAAAAACTAATATTCTGGGCTTTTGTGACCGAAAAATCCATTTTAAGCGTCACCCCTGGGGATGCTGTTACAGCCCCTCCCAGCTCACTCAATGCTAATCCATATTTTTTCAATCAATGTCATATGTACTGTGATGGTAGGTATTTACAGCCCCTCCCAATTTACTAAATGTTTATTAGTCCCATACATTTCAGTTGCTTCAACCTGCGCTTTGCTTGGCACCGAAAAAAAAAAAAAAAAAAAAAGCAATCGGAATCACTAAATATGATATACACTGCAAAGTCCAAACAATCATTATAATATTGATAAATGCATCAACAGTAGTGACCGCGATAAACTGGTACAAACTTTTCAAAAATGTGCTGAAATGAAGTAGCTTTTGTATAGAAAAATAAATACATGAGGATTAAGACCACCAATAAAAATTATTTTTAACTTCTATTTTTTCTTTTTATATAATAGGTTGACTTTTCATGTTTGACGTTTTTTTGATACAAATTCGAAATTTTGATCGCTTAAAGATTGGTGGCACGTTAGGGAAAGCTATTTTTTTTTTATTTTAGATCAAGAAACAATTAATCATATTAATTCTTGGGTCTTTTTTTTTTTGTCATTCCGGTTTTGTAACTTTGAAAGCCGGCTTGATAAGGTTAAGCATAGATTTATTAGCTGGCTTCCAATTCTAAGTACGGCGATACAATATTGGATACACCGGATCCCGTCTGATCTCCGCAGTTAAGCAATATCTGGGCCAGTCAGTACTATGGTGGGGGACCACTTAGGAATACTGGTTGCTGTAATTTTTTTTCTTTTTTCTTTTTTTTTTATATTTCTTGTCTTTATCTCGGTTGTTTTTAATTAGTTTAAAAAACTCCTCATATGAAAATCTTTTCCCGAACCTGAGAATGCAGATGAGCCAATGTTAAAAAACGGACGCATGCTGTATGAAACAATTCCTTCTTATACGCGTAACCGAAAGTTTAGATCTTCTCAGTGTTCCTTTCGACTTCCCGAAGGTACGTCCGAAAAGAAGCTTTCCAACAATTTCACGTATTAACTACACTCTGCTTTTTTTTCTTTGATTCCCTAGGTGGAATGAATGTCGATGTGAGCATTAGAACCAGGATGGCATTGCCTAACATGAAGTCAGACACAATTACAAATATTGGTTAATCTACTTATGCTGGTTATTTGCGAATTTGAGTACAACTATGAGGACCATATCATCAAAAGCAAGAACAACAACTACCCCGAAAATGTTTATCAAATACTAGAAGAAGGTATTATAGAATATTAAACCAATAAAGTCTAGAATGTTAGTGCCAATAATTATACGTGAGAAAGACAAGTTCGAAAGGTTGTCAAGAGGATCTTTAACTTTAGTTCTATCTATACCGTGACAAAGCCTCATAAGATAATCTTATGACTGAGGTTATTCGATGATTACGTGGTGTTTTGATTTGAGCGTTATCTGTCCTAAATAGTGTTTCGTCCACCTTTCAAGAGAGTTTAATTAAATAACCCTTGAACAATTAACTGTGGCTTATTTGCCGCAGATATAATTAATTCGGCCTATGAAAAGGATAATACATTTTGAAATAAGCGAATTCTGTCGAGTCTTATTTGGAAAAGAAGACAATGAACTGTTTCAATACCTAGGTGTTAAAGAACACGATTCGTAATGTTCCGACACAGATCGTTCAGCACATTATTAGAAGACGTTTTTCGGGTTTTGCGATCAGTTTATAGGGCGTCAAAATGAAATCCAAGATACGATTGGGCCGAATCACTATTTACATTAGTCCAAATACGACAAAACTTGTATATGTACCTTTAACAAAATGGAAGAAAGAACGGAACGTTCTATTAATATAGCAGGTCAAAAATACTCTAGAGAACTTTAATTCAAAATAAAGATAAATTATACATACGGTCTTTTAATTCTTTCTAAAGATGGTTGAACAAGGATTCAGGATAGGATTAACAAAGAAACACTGCATATAATAGTAGGTTTAGGTTTTACCTGCGGTACCGAACTTATTTCGGATGTTTCCAAAAACAGCTACAGGAGCTAGCATGGCCTGACACTATCTGCAAGAAACCAGAAAGTTTGAGGTATAAAGGAAACTGAAGTTAAATGGGATGCGGAAAGACCAGGAATAACGAAGACCTATTACTTCAAACAATGACAATGGACCTGATAAGATAAAATGGT